TAAAGCAAACTCCCATTTTGGAAAAACAAACTTCCATTTTCGTAAAACAAACTCCCATTTTCGAAAAGCAAACTCCCATTTACAAAAAAAAAAAAAAAACATTTTAAAGAAGTGGATGTCCCTTTGGGGCTTCCGTAGGTTTGCGTAACTGTCTCGCATTGTCCGAATCCCCCTCGTATTTAGATGAGGCTATGTAAACACGAAAAACGTGCTCTATTGCTTAAATGTTCCGTAACTTCATTGGTATTGGTTATGCATTCTGCCAAAAGACAAAGCACCACCCGCATGAGGTTTGATTCATTTCACTGGGAGAACTTTGCCTTAGTATACTTTTCACTTACTCATAACTTTCCCAGTATTACCTGCGAATTGTTGCCCTTTTATATCCGCATATGTCAAGGACTTCATGAACTCTGATAAGGTTACGATTTTCCAAAAACGGCATGCGCGCAAAACCTAGCGCGAACAAAGCCTGACACCGTGAAACAAGAAATCTTAACTTGCGTGACATCCCAAAACGTGGAGAGTTTCTTTGCTTACCATATAAGGGATCACAGTCTTCGTGACAATGCTGCGTGCAAAGCTTGCTGGTTAGGTCCATGAACGTGTCACCTTTACACTCGGCTTTTGTTTGATCACGTGCTACTATATGTGCGTCGATGACATCAGCTTCCTTGTTCCCATTCCCAAATGCGTAAAAGCGCGCATTCAGTGGCTTGTCGAGGTCTAACATGTTAAGGTAGACATCACCACTTTGTGTAGTTCCCAGTGTTTTTCCATATTCAATAAGCGTGCTTGATTTGGACTCAGTGACGCAAACAAAGTAAGATTGAAGCAAGGATGGGTCGCCCAGACCCCGCGCGTTGATATTTGTTGTGGAGGTTTTGAGTTCGAATCCCTGACAAAGAGAATGTAAAAGAAACAGCAATGCATTATTTTTATTAAGAGCAATGTTTGGAACGTAGGCAATGGTCAGGGCTGTAGATCACTTTCAGGCTTTGAAAGTTGAGATATGTTACGTTATGTTGAGATATGTGATGTTATGGTAGTTAATCAAAACATCTTCGTTATGATGTCTCGTTGAAAAACCAGAAATGAAATCTTGTGTTCATTACTTAATTTCAAAATTCCACAAAAGAGGACAAATCCACTGTGTGTGCTGTGTCTTTGGTTCAACCCTCGTAACTCATGGTTTAAACGCATTGATGATTTTCATTTTGTTTTCTCTTCCGCTAGATTCACTTCCTTTTCATGGGACAAATTTGAAAAGTGGTTACATAGGAGGGACCGTTTGTCTTAGGCCCCACACTATGCTGGAGGAATTTGAAATTGAAGTAAGTTTCACTCTGAAAACGCATCAAATGTTTTCTGTCCACACTACGCCGGAGGCATCTGACAATGTAACGTGCTGGTCATTTTGGATTTGTGCTTGAGGAAAACTCGGGAAGGGAAACCACATTATTATTGTCATGTCATCGTTTTCGAAAAGCTTCGTTTTCAAAATGTTTTCCGTCCACACTTAAACACGAAGCCAGCGTTTTCAAATTCCTCCGGTTTGAAGAGCATTTTCGGAAAGCTCCGTTTTCGTGACGGATTAGTGTGGACGGTAGGCCTAGCCGTAGAGATAAAGCTGCGTTTTCAAGTTCTCAGGCGTAGCGTGAACGGAGCCTTAGCTTGGATCTCTCGTTACCTTATAAATGGCCACTTTCTGTGGCGTGATTTCAATGTAATACCAAGAGGTCTTGTCGACTGGCAACGTTGCAAACACCACAAAAATGTCCCCCTCACTGGAAGCGGTGAAGTGAAGACACTTTCCTTTTGTTTCAGTGGGATCGAATCGAAGCGCATTTGACCATTTTACATTACATGGGGGATCTTGTAAGGTTTCACGCCTGTCTGCTAATACGCTGAAGTCTGAAACAGCTCGGCCTAGCTCTCGTCCAGCTAGTGAATCATGGAGGTCTGGGAAGAACTCTCTTGACGCGTCGAGATCATGTGACAGAAGAGACAGTCCTCCGGTGTTTTGATTGAAGGAGAGCACGAGTCCCAGAATTGAGATTTTGTGTTGGCGAGGATCTCCGGTTTTTCCATTCTTAAAGGCGTTGTACAGGTGAAAAGAGCCATCTTTTTCAGCTGTGAACCATTTTCCTTCATCGTAGCGTACTAATCGACTCATGTTTCTGGGAATATCGCTGAAGTCTTTCGTTCCTTTGAAATTATTTCTCATGTCGAGGACGACTCGGAAGGTGGCTTTGTCTTTGGTGATGTGCTTCCAACTGGGGACACGCAGTTTGCTGTGACTTGCTGCCTCGTCCGCTTGGCTTGGTGTCTCTGGGGCTGCTGCTGGGGTGTCTGTGCTGCATGGTGGTAGCTGAATATCTGTGATTGAATTTGGGCCCTTGGGAGAGAAATTTCACGACAGCAAAATACTTTTGATAAAGATACTTCACACAGCTAAGATAAGACAGTAGTTATTCTGGTGTAAGTGAGGAAAACACCATAAGCCACGCCCTACTTTCGCGCTTTCGTGGGAGGTCGAATTTTCTAAACTTTTTTTCATCGGATTATGTGCGCGTTTTGGAATATAGATTGGGTTCTGCGAGCGCCTTGTAGGTGAAAACTCTACTGTCAAAATTGATATCAGTGTAGAAACCTCTCCCCAACAGCTCATATCTTGAAATCTCTCGCGTGTTCTCAAATGTCTGTCTTACGACAGCGTTATATGTGGCTTTGGCATTTCGCGACTCTATATCTTGAGAAAACGATCAATCGTTCATTTATCTATATAACCATGGTCAACAATAAGGACATCTTTTATGAAAAGTACACATATGTTATCACCTCCTTCATGTAGACCTCGATGGCTCTTGTCAGGCTTATTCTTCTCCTGGTTATCGCCTCCTCCAGTGACTTACGGCTGTCAAACTGACAATAGTGCTTCTGAACTGTTCCATTGGGGAAGACTGTTTCGTAGAATTTCAACTTTTCTTCATTTGCCGTTACCTCTTCTTTAAGATTCGCCGCATTCCCCTCGCATCCCTGGGTGCTTCTCTTTTCGGGAAACAAGTCGCGGAGACGGAAATTAAGAAGACTTGTGATTGGAGCCATCTGAAACTCAAAAGGTTTTGGATATTGAGGAATCGAAGCAAGCCAATCTTTAAACTCGTTTTTGAACGTTGGTGAATACGCATCAGATAAAATAGAGGCAATTTGCTGACTTCCTCCCATTGCAAGAATCGTTGTCGATGATGTTTTTGCCTGTTTTCTGTGCGATTGTCCTTCTTTTCGACTTTCTTTTGCTCCGACGCTGGCGAACAAGCTTTTGTATTCCACCTCCATTTCTCGGGCGAATTCTTTCTTGCTAGAAACGTCGCTTGCATCCATAAATTTACGAATTTGGAGTTGACCACCAAATTTTGCCGACTTGATGCAGTGTGTTCCCCACCTCTGAATGAAATCCACTGTTGGAAGTTAAATAAAAAAAAGAATGTTTCGTTCAACCAAAATGATTATGCTAAGTGTGCGAAGGATGAAATGAGTATTCGATGCTAACAACTGTTACTGGTAAAGCATTTTATCTGGGAATTAATTTGAGAATATCAGGGAATATAAAGCGACTTAGCTTACTGTAATTGTTTGTTTCTTGTTTCTCTCCGGAAAACAGCC